CTGCGCAAACATCTGCTGGATCTCCTTCTCGAGGGCCGCCAGCTCTCCCACCACTGGCGCGAGCGCCGACGTGTGCTTAGCCGACGTCTTCTGCGTGGCGTCGTCCTTCTTCAAGCCGTACGTCACCACGGCCTTCTCCTCCTCTTTGCGCTTCAGCGCCCGGCGACTCGGCGGCTCCTTCGGGACCTTCTCCTGCTTCGCCTTCTTCTGGAACTCCTCGCCCAGGGGGCTCTCCAGTATCCCAGGCACGCTGAAATCGTCTGGGTCCATAACGTTCATGGGCATGCCGATGCGTTTTTCCACCTGCTTGATTAGGTCTGGCTCGTCGTACCAAATTGTGCAGCCACCCTCGTCGATGATCCAGTTGGCATCGTCACGGGGCTTTAGCTTCTGGTCGGGACCGAAGGGAATCGTCAGCTTGGTGTTGCCAGGCCAGGGCGTGCAGTTCTTGCCACGCGAGGGGCACTTGTGATACCAGACCTTCTCCTTCTCTGTGGCCACGATGGAAATGGCCAAACCCATGCGCTCAGCACGACCGCAACGCCCAATGCGGTGGATATAATTCTCGATGTCGTCTGGCAGAGTCGTCTGAATGACGTACGGCAGCCCAGCGATGTCGATACCCCGGGCAGCCACGTCGGTGCACACCAGGAACCTGATGTCACCCTCCTTGAACGCCTCCAAGTTCTGGCGTCGTTCATCCTGGGCTCGCATGCCAGCAAGTACCACGCACGAGTATGGGTTTTCCTTGCCCGTCTCCATCTTGCCTCCATAAGTTCCCTTCGTGCCGCCCAACCGATTGAGGTAATCTTCCAGGTTGTTGCAGTCCACGTTCGTCCGGCAGAACACCAAGCACTGACTCATATTGAAAAGGTCCGCCATCTTCACCATATACTTGGGTTTCATCTGCTTGATTTTCTCTGACAGTTTCAGGGCCTCTGGGTGTTTGCTGTCGATGGAAGACATGGAAGGCTTCTCGTGCACAGCATCGAGCACTGGTTGATTCTTCTGGTCTTGCGGCTTTGCGCGCACTGCTAAATCTGTGTCAGACCACGGGAAATCGGCCATCGGGTCCACGTACAGAACAACATGGTGCACCGTCTCTGGTACGCTGTCCTTCCCTTTGAGATCGACCCATATCGGCCTCGTGGTGATGTCATTGATCATCTGCACCACCTCGGGCGTGTGCAGCGTAGCGCTGAAGAAAAGTGTCTGAACTCGGTCTCGCCGGCCTCTCTTGATCTGGGCATTCAAGCGCGGAATCTCTTTTCGATCGTCCTTCTTCTGCAAGTCGTCTGCCTCGTCAAGCACTAGAAACTTGATTTGCGACACGTCAAGCTTCCCCCTACGCACGTAATCCATAGTCTTCTGCAAGGTGCCTACGCAAATATCGACGCCTTCTTCCAAGGCGCGGAACTGCTCTTTTTCATCGATACCACCAACAAATAGTGTGATACGGACAGTCGGGTTCTCTAAATGCTTGTTGAACTTTGTCATGCAATTGTATGTCTGTTCAGCCAGATCCCTGGTCGGCTCCAAGATCATGCACATAGGCGGGCGTTTCCCCTTTGCCTGAGACATTCCCTGCGGAGTATGCGATGGGTCGATCGCACCTATCGGCGTGTATCCTTCTACGGGGTATTCCATCGGCCCATCGAACGTCGCAGCCGCCATGAAGCCCTTCCCGCAGATGTGCGGCTTGAGGCCTATTCTGAGAAGGTCAGGCGGGATTTTGTACGCGACGCCCAAGTCACGCCCGTTCTTGCAGTAAGAGATAGTATTGGCTTCCCTGTCGAGCAAGCAACCGATTATATCTCCCTCCTCGAACTCCTCTCCGTAATCCTCGAACTTCCTGTTCCAGCTCTTCTTGCCCGTGGAGCCGTAGCCGAAGCTCTTGTCCTCGATGCCCAGCTCCAGTTTGGCGAAGCCTGCGCTCCAGCCGACCCGCATCATGCCCTCCACGACCTCCACTTCGTACATGTACTTGCCATTTAAAACTTCGATCGTGGCCCGTATACCGTTCCAGCGCTTGTCGTCGTCGCTCTTGCACTCCAGGCCATCCTCGGTGACGAGAACAAACATGTCCTTGTCGTTGAGGTTGAACTCGCACTTGAGGTTGGTGTTCATTTTTTTCCTGGTTCTCCCTTTTTCTCTCCCTCCCCCAACCCTCCAACACTGCCGTTTCTTGCCGTTGTCCTCCTCCCTCCTCCTCCTCCCACGTCTGCGACCCATCCTGCCGCCGTGCCTCCTCCTCCTCCTTCTCCTTCTTCTCCTCCTCCTCCTCCTCCTCCTCCTCCTCCTCCTCCTCCTCCTCCTCCTCCCCCCCTCCTCCTCCTCCTCCTCCTCCTCCTCCTCCCCCTTCTCCTCCCATCTACGACGGGCCATCCAGAAACTAGCTCTTATCAAGGACGCCCGCGGCGAATCACCGCCGCCCCCTGCCTTTTGGAAGCGCGCACGTGGCCGAACGCTGAGGGGAGGAGGAGGAGGAGGAGGAGGAGGCCGAGGCGGTGGTCCCGTTTTTGCAAGGGTTCAGCTACGCGGACCGCGCCCCGTCTTTCCTGGGTCCGGCGGAACTCCTACGGGCAAGTGCAAACAGAATTCACCCTGATGGTATGACTGTCTACTCGCGCCTACGACCATTGCTCCATAAGGAGGTCCCATTTTTGCAAGGGGTCAACTACGCGGACCGCGCCCCGTCTTTCCTGGGTCCGGCGGAGCTCCTACGGGCAAGTGCGGACAGAATTCACCCTGATGGTATGACTGTCTACCCGCGCCTACGGCCACTGCCCCAGAAGGAATCATGCACATTCTGAGCCGCTCGCCCATGCACCACACGATGTTGCAGTGGTCAGTGGAAAACTAGCGGAGGCGTTGCGGATGATGGCCACCGTGCGTGCTCCAAAGAGTCCGTCAGCAGGAGTCGCATCTTCGATACCAATCGAAGGATTGCAAAAAAAACCCTTTGCAATCCTTTGGGTTGCAAAAAAACCCTTTGCAACCCTTTGCAATCCTTTGGGTTTTTTTGCAATCATTCGATACCAATCGAAGGGTTTTTTTGCAATCCTTCGATACCAATCGGGTTTTTTTGCAGTCCTTTGGGTTTTTTTGCAATCATATGTTGGTCTTTGAAAGGGGCATCGCGACGCGAAGGGGCGAGTACAACACTGCACTGACACTTCGCGCCATGCACCTGGGTCATTCAAGTCTCCCCGAGGCGGGATGAGATAGAAAGCCAGAGAGAGCGAGAAAGAACGAGAGAGAGAGAGAGAACACCAACAACTACAACTTATCCTTGTCTCCATTCCGCACGGTAGCTATATGTATTGTCCTCCTTCTCCCTTTCTTCCTCGCTCCTTGTCTCTTCCTTGCTGTCACTATTTGCGAACACCTCCCCGTCATTATTCCCAACCATCCTGTGGTGTTGGGCCCTCGTTTTGAAGAGACAGCGCCCCGCGGTCTCCTCCTCCTCCTCTCCGCTCCTCCTCCTCCTCCTCCTCCTCCTCCACTTCCTCCTTCCTTCATCATCGTCAGCATCATGATCATCATCGCCGTCACCATCGTAGTTAACATCATCATCACAGCCGTCATCATCACCGTCCTCGCCATCCGGATCGATATCATCATCGCCATCATCGCCACCAATTCCGGCGCACCACTTACACGCTTCATGGCCCCATAGGGAGCACCACCGAAGGCCTCAGCGGGTGTGTTCGCATGCGTCTCCCCCGCCCAATACAGGTTTTCGTGGCCCCATAGGGAGCCCCAACGGAGGCCCCAGCGGTGTTCGCATGCGTCTCCCCCGCCCACCTCAGCGCTTCGTGGCCCCATAAGGAGCTCCACCGACGGCCCCAGTGGCGGTGTTCGCATGCGTTCTCCCTCGCCCAGTACAGCTCTTCGTGGCCCCACAGGGGGCTCCACCGAACGCCCCAGTGGCGGTATTCGAACGCGACTCCCCCACCCAGTACAGCGCTTCGTGGCCCCAGAAGGGGCTACACCGAAGGACACAGTGGCGGTGTTCGCATACGTTTCCCCCACCCAGTTCAGCGCTTCGTGGTCCCCATAACGAGCTCCACCGAAGGCCCCAGTGGCGGTGTTGGCATGCGTCTCACCCGCCCAAATCAGCGCTTCGGGCCCCCATATGGGGGCTCCACCGGAGGCCCCAGTGGCGGTGTCCGCATGCCTCCCCCGCCCAATACAGCGCCTCGTGGCCACATAGGGAGCCCCACCGAAGAACCTAGTGGCGGTGTTCCCATGCGTCTCACCCGCCCAGCTCAGCGCTTCGTGGCCCCCTAGGGAGCTCCACCGACGGCCCCAGTGGCGGTGTTCCCATGCGTCCCACCCGCCCAACACAACGCTCCGTGGCCGCACAGGGGGCTCCACCGAAGGCCCCAGTGGCTGCATTCGAACGCGACTCCCCCACCCAATACAGCGCTTCGTGGCCCCACATAGGGCTACACCGAAGGCTCCAGTGGCGGTGTTCGCATGCGTCTCCCCCACCGAAGGACCCAATGGCGGTGTTCGCATGCGTCTCCCCCGCCCAGCTCAGCGCCTCGTGGCCCCCCAGGGAGCTCCACCGACGGCCCCAGTGGCGGTGTTGGCATGCGTTTCACCCGCCCAACACAGCGCTTCGTGGCCGCACAGGGGGTTCCAGCGAAGGCCCCAGTGGCTGCATCCGAACGCAACTCCCCCACCCAATACAGCGCTTCGTGGCCCCACATGGGGCTACACCGAAGGCTCCAATGGCGGTGTTCGCATGCGTCTCCCCCACCGAAAGACCCAGTGGCGGTGTTCGCATGCGTCCCCCCTGCCCAGTTCAGCGTTTCGTGGCCCCCTAGGGAGCTCCACCGAAGGCCCCAGTGGCGGTGTTGGCATGCGTCTCACCCGCCCAACACAGCGCTTCAGGCCCCCATATGAGGGTTCCACCGAAGGACACAGTGGCGGTTTTCGCATGTCTCCCCCACCCAATACAGCGCCTCGTGGCCACATAGGGAGCCCCACCGAAGAACCCAGTGGCGGTGTTCGCGCGCGTCTCCCCCATTCAATACAGCGTTCCGTGGCCCTATCGGGAGCTCCACCGAAGGCTCCAGTGGCGGTGTGCGCATGCGTCTCCCCAACCCAGCACAACGATTCGTGGCCTCCTACGGAACGAGCTCCACCGAAGGCCCCAATGACGGTGTTCGAACCCCCACCCAGTACAGCGCCCTGTGGCCCCATCGGGAGCCCCACTGGGGGACCCAGTGGCTGTGTCCGCGCGCGTCTCTCCCACTCAGTACAGCGTTCCGTGGCCCTATGGGGAGCTCCACCGACGGCCCCAGTGGCGGTGTGCGCATGCGTCTTCAAAATCCAGCACAGCGTGGCCCCCTAGGGAGCTCCACCGAAGGCCCCAATGGCGGTGTTCACGCGCGTCTCCCACACGCGAGCAGGAGTGGGCCGGCAAGGAGGCGAGGCCGCGACGGCTGCTTTCTGTTATCGTTTTTCAAATATTTTCTTTTATTGTTCTTGCCTATATCAGAAAATGCACCATTTTCATCACCATATCGTCGCAACGGCAGGGTACGTGTGAAGAGTCCTTCTTTGAGGCAGCAAAGAGTGGCCCGCAGCGCAGAATCTTGCCTCGAAGGTACATGAATGTAGTCTACCGAATGCACAGTAATCAAAGGAGCCCCGATGAGGAGAACGAGGGGGAACGGTATAATGGGAAAAGGATGGAGATATAGGAAGATGAACAATCATGCGTGTGTACGCAAATGTGCGGCTGGAGAAACGACCCGCTTAACGAGTAACAAGATGAATCGCTGTAAAGAGAAGTCGTGCGAACGCGTATGCGGGGTTCGTGACCTACCGATGTGCGGGCCGTAAGGCGGGGCACGCGGCCTAACACATCTAGTGCCGTCATCGTCTATCGTGTGTTCCTCTCGTTCTTTTTATTTTACTTCTCTCTCTCTATCTGTAAGTGTAAAAGTGTATACAACACCTACGTGTATGTATGTATGCATGTACGCGTGCATGTATGTATATATGCATGTATGGTTGTACGTATGTATATAAGGATGCATTTAAGTATGTATGTATGTATGTTTGTTTGTGTGTGCGTATATATATATATATGTATGTACGTATATACATATGTATGTATGTATGTATGGATGGATTTATGTACGTATGTATGCGTGAATAGTGTACGCATGTATATATGTACGCAGGTACGCATGCATGGATGAATGTAAATATGCATATAAGTCTGCATGCATGCATGCATGTATGTATGTATGTATGTATGCATGTATGTATGTATGTATGTATGTATGTATGTTTGTTTGTTTGTATGTATGTATGTATGAGAGAGCGCGTTCTGTGGTCGCTTGGATAGGGGGGGGGGGGTGAAACCAGCCCTCCCCTCTCACCCCCCGTGGATGGAAGGGGGGGGGGTTTGACCCCCCCCCTTCCCCTTTGCTTCCCCTCTCCTCGGGCCGACGCTTGAGTCGGCGGCGGCTGGCGACGGCGGCGGGGACGACGATTTCCATTTCTGGGCCGACGCCTGCGGCGGCGGGCGGCGGTGGCGGGGAGCGTCGACGAGGACGACGGTGGTGGTGGTGGTGGTGGGTTGTGGTGGTGGTGCTGGTAGCGGTGGTGGTGGTTGTGGTGGTGGTGGTGTGGTGGTTTGTTGTGGTGGTGGTGGTGGTTGTGGCGGTGGGTGGTATTGGTGGTGGTGGTTTGGTGGTGGTGTGGTGGTGGTTTGTGGTGGTGGTGGTGGTGGTGGGTTGTGGTGGTATTGGTGGTGGTTTGGTGGTGGTGTGGTAGTTTGTGGTGGTGGTGGTGGGTTGTGGTTGTGGCGGTGGTTTGTGGAGGTGGTGCTGGTGGTGGTGGTGGTGGCGGTAGTGGTGGTGGTGTGGTGGCTTGTGGTGGTGATGGTGGGTTGTGCTGCTGGTAGTGGTGGTGGTTGTGGCGGTGGTGGTGGCGGTGTGGTAGATTGTGCTGGTGGTGGTAGTGGTGGTGGGTTTTTGTTGTGGTGGTGGTGATGGTGAGTTGTGGTGGTGGTGGTTGGTGGTTGTGTGGTGGTGGTGGTTTGTGGTGTTGGTGGTGGTGGTGGGTTGTGGTGGTGGTGTGGTGCGGTTTGTGGTGGTGGTGGTTTGTGGACGTTTGGTGTGGTGGTGGTGATGGTGGCGGTGGTGCTGGTGGTGGTGTGGTGGTTTGTGGTGGTGGCGGTGGGTTGTGCTGCTGGTAGTGGTGGTGGTTGTGGCGGTGGTAGTGGTGGTGTGGTAGATTGCCCGTGCCGCCCCTCGCGCCGGCGCCGGCGCGAGGGGGGGCGGGGGTAGGGTTTGGAACCCCCCCCCTCACCCCCCTCGTCGCCAGGGGTGAGGGGGGGTTCAAACCCCCCCCGCCTCCTGGGCTGCCTCTGATCATCGTCGCTGGCGTTCCCGCCGTAGGCGCCGGCGCCGGCGCCGAGTGGTGGGGGTGGGTGGTGGTTTGAACCCCCACCCCCCTTGGAAGGGGAGGGGGAGGTTCGGGAAGGGGGGGGTTTGGGGGGAGGGGAGTCCCCCTGGTTTTGATCGACGGCGCCGAGTGTTGGGGGGGGGGGGCCCACCCCCTGGTTCGAAACGCGCCGCCGAATGTTCCCCAGGCAAGCGCCCGTGCAACACGTTCTCGCGTATGTATGTATGTATGTATGTATGTATGTATGTATGTATGTATGTATGTATGTATGTATGTAGGCAGGCAGGCAGGCAGGCAGGCAGGCAGGCAGGCAGGCAGGCAGGCAGGCAGGCAGGCAGCCAGCCAGGCAGGCAGGCAGGCAGGCAGGCAGGCAGGCAGGCAGGCAGGTAGGTAGGTATGGATGTGTGTGCTTATGTGTGTATGTATGTTTGTCTGTCTGTCTGTCTGTCTGTCTGTCTGTCTGTCTATCTGTCTGTCTGTCTGTCTGTCTGTCTGTCTGTCTATCTGTCTGTCTGTCTGTCTCTGGGTGGGTGGGTGGGTGGGTGGGTGGGTGGGTGGATGGATGGATGGATATGTACACATCTCTCTCTATATATGTGTGTGCGTGTGTAAGCATAAACATATGTGCAACTATTGATTGAAGTCTTTGGGGAGCCTGTCGTGGGCCTCTTTTGGGGTTCTTGGGTACCTCTTGGCGGCATGATGGCTTGGGGCACTCCTGGGGGCTTCTTGGGCCGCCTCGGGGCGGTCCAGGGGGCCTCTGAGGCCGTCTTGGTCGCAAGATGGCCCAAGATGGGCCCAAGATGGCGGCCACTCGACGGCCCAACGGGCTCCCCAGATGGCCCAAGAGGGCCCGAAGACGACTCCCAAGAGGCCCCCGGGAGGCAAAAAATATGGTTTGTCCTTCGGTTTCGGTACCATTTTCGCATACTCGGCTTCTCGGTCTCCACAGCGCTCGAGACGGCCGGACAGGCCCCCGATATCGCTCCAAGACGGCCCAATATGCGCCCAAGAAGGCCCCAAGACGAGGGGCCCCAGAGGGGCCCCAGAGGCGCCCCAGGACGGCCCAAGAGGGGCCCCAGAGGGGCTTGGGCCCCAAGACAGCCAGCCCAACTGGGCCCCCAGACCGCCCCAGAAGATCCCTAAGAGGCCCTCCAGAATGCCCTTGAGGACCAAGACGGCCCCAAAGGGCCCCCAGAACGGCCCAGGAGGCCTGCACGACGGCCTGAAAACGGCCTCACGAAACCCCGAAGAGGGCCCACTCCCCAGACATGAGGAGGAGGAGGAGGAGGAGGAGGAGGAGGAGGAGGAGGAGGAGGAGGGGGAGGAGAGAGGAGGAGGAGGAGGAGGAGGGGCGGAGGAGGAGGAGGAGGAGGAGGAGGAGGAGGAGGAGGAGGAGAGCGACGCCCTGATTTTTTCAGCACGGCGTCCCTGGAAGTCCCGGCCCCGTCCCCGAGGCTGGATTCTTAATCCCGCATCGCTCCTCGACGGCCCCCGGGGGGCCAGCGAGGGCCCCCCCGGGCGTCGACGAGATTGAGAAGCCGCCCGCCCTGACCTTTTTACGACGCGGTCATGTCTGGGTCGGCACCCTGCACTGGTACTCTTAAGTCCCCAGACCTCCTCGCGTCGTGAAAAAATCACGACGGGAGGTTTTTTGCAATTTTCGGCCTCCGGGGGCCCTTATGGGGCCTCGGGGGCGTCAGAAAACGACTCGGTATGAAAAACCGGTCCCGGGAAAGGGCTCCAGACTCCGGGGGCGGACGTTGTGACAAAAATCACGACGTCGGGGGTCTGGGTCGGGCCTGTCCCCCCACTGGGGGATTTTCGACGAAAAAAACAAAAAAGTACCCCAAACATAACCCAGACATAGCCGAAACATAGTCAGGGGATTCTGCTTGGGGGAGTAGTTGTGGACCTTCTTGGGGCATCTTTGGGGTATTTTTTTGCTATTGTTCGTCGACACTCCCCCTGCAGGGGGACGGGCCCGACGCGTTGGTACTCCTGGGGCGCCCCGTGGGCCCGCATGGCGCCGGCCGCCGTGGAGCGCCGCCGGGGGCAGGCCCGGAGCCCTCCGGGGAGCCCTCCGGGGCCCGGAGGCCATCTCGGCGCCCCGGAGAGCGATCTCGAGCGGCCTCGGGGCCCCGGGGGGCCGCCCAGAGAGCGCCCCAGGGCGGGGGGGGGAAGCACCGTCGCACAGGGGGAGGAGGAGGGGGGGAGAGGGGAGGAGGAGGAAGGAGAGGAGGAGGAGGAGGAGGAGGATAGGAGTAGTAGGAAGAAGGAGGAGAGTTGAGGGAGAGGAGAGGGAGGGAAGGAGGAGGAGAGAGGTGCAGGAGTGGAGGAGGAGGAGGAGGAGGGGGCCGGCCCAGGGCCCCGGGGCCAGGACCTCCCGTAGTTGTACGCCTCGCCTATACATGCGCAGCGAGCGCTCGAACCGCCTTGGAGCTCGGACCACGTGCGCACCACGGCCCTGTTCGAGTGGGAGGTGGGGGCTCATGAATCAGACCTGGCCCGAGTCTTAGGTCGGGCATGCCCCCTAGAGGCGGACCTTGGACGAAAAATGAGAGACCATCAACACATGTTCCGAACAGTGCTGAAAACATACTCTCGTTTTTCTCCAACCAAAGGGATCTCTAGGGGGGCCGCTGAGTTCCCAAGGCCTCGGTCACCAAGGTTATCAGGAGAGATATGACCCCCGCGGCTCTTGAGCCTGTGCCAGAGGCCGTGCGACAGGGACGCACAGCAAGGCGTGGGCCGCCCAGGCAAGAGATACTCAAGAAATCGTCCCCAGAGTATTTGTTCGACTATCCCGGAGATCCGATGTCGTGATTTTTGTTCCATGCAGGGCCCCAGGAAGTCTCGACCCAATCCCCAGGACCGGTTTGTCATCCTGAACCGTTTTGTTGACGGTCCCGAGGCCCGGCGAGGGCCCCTACAGACCGAAAACTGCGAGAAACGTCAGTCTTGTTTTTTCAATACGTTGGATCTCTGCCCCCGACCTGGAGGACCAGGAGGAGGAGGAGGAGGAGGAGGAGGACCAGGAGGAGGAGGAGGAGGGAGTAGGAGGGGAGTAGGAGGAGTAAAGAGAGGATGAGAGAGGATAGAAGGAGGGCGGGGGCGGGTAGAAGGAGAAGGGGGAGGCGGAGGATTGAGTAGAAGGAAAGGAGGAGGAGGAGAAGGAAAGGACGGCGGCGGGCGGGATGTTCGACTTTCCGTCCTGCGGAGGCACGTGCCCGACGCAGCCCGAGGCTGGAGGTCCAGGCCCAGAACGAGGCGGGCGAGCGGCGCGGCAGAGGCAGGCGAGCGAGCCGAGGGGGCACCGAGGAGGGGGCGGCGAGGAGCGGCCGCGGCGCAGGGCGACGAGGAGGCCCGACCCCCCTCCTCCTCCTTCCCTCCTCCTCCTCCTCCTGCCTTGCACCTACCACCACCTCCTCCCTCCACCTCCTCCTCCTCCTCCTCCTCCCTCTTCCTCCCTCCTCCACCTCCTCCGCCTCCTCCACCACCTCCTCCCTCCTCCTCCTCCTCCTCCTCCTCCTCCCACCTCCCACCTACCCTCCTCCCACCTCCCACCTCCCTCCTCCTCCTCCCCTCCTCCCTCTCCCTCCCCGCCCTCCAACACTCACCTCCCCTCCCTCCTCCCCCTCCCACCTCCCTCCTCCCCTCCTCCCTCCTCCCTCCTCCCTCCTCCTCGAGGAAAGGACTTGGGGACCCAGACCCCCTCGCGTCGTGAGGAAGATCGCGATGGGAGGTCTTTCGCTATGGTCGCCGCTGGTCGCCCTCTGGAGGTCCTCGCCGGGCCTCGGGACCGGCAAAAAAACAAACGACTCAGGACGAAACACCTGTCCCGGGGAAAGGGACCAGGCTTCTGGGGGTCGACGTCATGAAACAAATCACGAAGTCGGGGGGTCTGGGGAGGAGGGCCCCTCCTCCCCATATCCTTCCCCTCCTGGAGGGCCTCTCCTCCCCATATCCTTCCTCCTCCTCACGCCCGATCGGTTTCCCTAAGGATGGGAGGAGAGGAGAAGGGAAACTGGTCGGGTGTTGAACCCATGTGATCGCCCTGGCCTGGCGTCTCCGCTGAGCACCTTCTCAGCAGCAAGCCTGGACAGAAAGACGTTCAGTCCGGTCGAGCGTGCCCGCAGTCCATGACCCCCTCCATCCGGCCAGGACAAGGAGGGGATGGAAGGAGTGGAGGAGCGAAGAGAAAGGGCTGAGGGGGGCCCTTGACTTAGGTCGGGCATGTCCCCCTACAGACGGATCTTGGACGAAGAATGAAACATAGTCAAAGCATACTCAAACATAACCAGAAAAGATTCAAACGTCGCCCCAGTACTATTGTTTACTATTCTTGAACTTCCCCCCTGTAGAGGGACGTGCCCGACTCAACCCTGGACCCTAACGCTCGAGACGCGGGTTGCCCCCCGCCCCCCCCCCCTCACCCCTCCCGAGTGCTCCTCGACTGGCACTTCCCGCGCAGCGTCTCGTGGACGATCTGGAGGCAGGGCAGGCCGAAGGCCCCAGTCTTGCCGCTGCCCGTCTCCGCGGCGACGAGCACGTCCCCCCCGCCGAGGATGAGCGGGATCGCCTCCTGCTGGACCGGCGTGGGGAGCAGCCACTCGTCCTCTTCCACGGCCTGGATGATCTCGGGGCAGATGCCCAGCTCCTGGCTCGAGGGGTCGCCAGCAGGGCAGCTCGGGCGGGGGGCAAGGGTATTGCCAGGAATGCCGCCTTCACAAGAGTGACGATAATAACAACGACAGCCCACAGCCTGAGCCTTGGGGAGCATGTCACGCGAGAGGCTCCCGGGGGTTCTTGGTGACAGGGGTCTTGCAGGCTTCCCCCAATCCCCGAATTCGAGACTGGCCGCAAGAGCAGCACGTGGCAGAGTAGAGGGAGGAGGAGGGATGGAGGAAGAGGGAGGGAGGAGTGAGACAGGCAGGGGGCACGGGGGCAAGGCCAAGAAGGTCTCCGCGGGGAGGGCTCCTGTTCCTCTTCATTCCCCTCTTGCTCCACCTCCTCCTCCTCCTCCTCCTCCCCCTTCTCCTCCTCCTCCTCCTCCTTCTCATTCTCCCCCTCCTCCTCCTCCTCCTCCTCCTCCTTCTCCTCCTCCTCCTCCTTCTTTCCCCCGCACGCGCCCTAAGTTCGCCTCCCTCCTTCTCCTCCTCCCCCAATACCCCTCAGCATGCCGCCCCGCCCTTCTCTCCATCCTCCTTCTTACCCCCTCCGCCTCCTCCCTCCTCAGCTCCTCCTGCTCCTCCTCCTTCCTCCTCCCTGCCCTGCTCCTCCTCTTCCTCCTCCTCCTCCGCCTCCTCCTCCTCCTCCTCCACCTCCTCCTCCTCCTCCACCTCCGCCTCCTCCTCCTCCTCCTCCTCCTCCTCGATCGCTCACGCCTTTTCTGCCGCCCCGTCCTCGAAAGCGCTCATGGGGGCCGCCCGCCCCAGGCGCCCCCGGAGGGGCCCGGCGGTCGGCCGCGCGGCCGCCTCGAGCCAGCACGGCCTGGGGGCACGTCCTCGCGGCGAGCAGGTGGGGGGGGGGAGAGGGATGAGGAGGAGGAGGAGGAGGAGGAGAAGGAGGAAGGAGGAAGGAGGAGGAGGTGGAGGAGGTGAGGAGAGGAGGAGGTGAGAGGTGGAGGAGGAGAGGAGGAGGAAGGAGGAGGAGAGCAGGAGGAGGAGAGAGAAGGGGGAAGCAGAGGAGGAAGGGGTGGAGAGGAGGAGAGAAGAACAGCACAGGTGACCTTAGGTTGCTGTAGCGTAAAAAGGAGGAGGGGGAGAAGGAGGGGGAGAGGAGGAGGAGGAGGAGGAGGAGGAGGAGGAAGGATGAGGAGGAGAGGAGGAGGCGGAGGAGGAGGAGGAGGAGGAGGAGGAGGAGGAGGAGGAGGAGGGGTAGCAGGAGCTGAGGAGGTCAGTGCGCCAGGGGGGGGGCTCATGATCTTCGTGCCCGGGCTGCCCACCTCGTGGCGCTCCTCGCTCTGGGCCTCCCCATGGGGCCCCCGCCCCTCGGTGACGGGCTCGCCCTTCTTGGCCCGCTCCGCTCTCCGGTGGCCCCCTCCAGATGACGGCGTGGGCTCGGCGTCGCACCAGGTCTTGGCGGCGCGCATGGGCCCCAGCCCACGAGCCCCAGGCCCGAGGCCATTGGCCGGGCACGAGCGCCCAGGCCCGAGCGTCCAGGCCCAAGCCCGCTGAGCCCGCGAGCCCGAGGAGGAGGAGGCGAAGGAGGAGGAGGAGGAGGAGGCGGAGGAGAAGGATGAGGAGGAGGCGGAGGAGGAGCAGAAGGAGGAGGAGGAGTAGGAGGAGGAGGAGGAGTCATGAACAAAAACACGACGGGGGGTTTTCGCTATCCTCGGCCTCGGGAGGCCCTTACGGGGCCTCGGGACCGTCGACAAACGGCACAGGACGAGACATTCGGAGGATGAGGAGGAGGAGGCGGAGGCGGAGGAGGAGGAGGAGGAGGAGGAGGAGGAGGAGGAGGAGGAGTCATGAAAAAAACACGACGGGGGGGGGGGAGGGCCGCTATCCTCGGCCTCGGGGGGCCCTTACGGGGCCTCGGGACCGTCGACACAAACGACACAGGACGAGACATTCGGAGGAGGAGGAGGAGGAGGCGGAGGAGGAGGCGGAGGAGGAGGAGGAGGAGGAGTCATGAACAAAAACACGACGGGGGGGGGGTCGCTATCCTCGGCCTCGGGGGGCCCTTACGGGGCCTCGGGACCGTCGACACAAACGACACAGGACGAGACATTCGGAGGAGGAGGAGGCGGAGGAGGAGGAGGAGGACCATCGTACTTAAGGACCACATCCCAAAAACGATTTCGAGCACCCAGAAAAATGTCGAAGGAGTGTCGAAAGAGTGTCGAGACAGTGTCGGACGAGTGTCTCCCAGGGCCCGACGCGTGAAAACCCCTGAGTTTCAGTACTGTTTTAATGTTACTCGAAATTCCTTCGGGCGATCAAGACTAAAGAGAGTTGGAACATCACAAAACTAGGGAGCCGAGCTCTATACACCGACGCTTGTTCCGGCCCTGCGCTGAAACTCGCACAGGAAACCGGATCCTGGTGTATACGGGATCCTGGTGTATACATCTTTCGTCGTTTCCCCGGGAAGACGGGGAAAAAAGTATACACCACGCCACCCCGACGTCGTCCCCGACCCTCCAAAAAGTCCTGGGATGGAAAAACCGCCCGCCACTGGTAATGTACATGCTCCATGTTCCGAGCAACGTCGACCCCCAGAGGTTTGGACCCCTTCCCCGGGACCGGATCTTCATCCCGAATTGTTCCCAACCATCCTGTGGTGTTGGGTCCTCGTTTTGAAGAGACGTCGCCCCGCGTTCCTTCCTCCTTCCTCCTTCCTCCTTCCTCCTCCTCCCCTTCCTCCCCCCTCCTCCCCCTCCCACACCCATTCTGGCACACCCCTCACACGCTTCGTGGCCCCATAGGGAGCTCCACCGAAGGCCCCAGTGGCTGCGCCCGCATGCGGTTTCCCCCCCCATTTTGGCACACCCCTCACACGCTTCGTGGCCCCATAGGGAGCTCCACCGAAGGCCCCAGTGGCTGCGCCCGCATGCGGTTCCACCCCCCCATTCTGGCACACCCCTCACACGTTTCGTGGCCCCATAGGGAGCTCCACCGAAGGCCCCAGTGGCTGCGCCCGCATGCGGTTCCACCCCCCATTCTGGCACACCCCTCACACGTTTCGTGGCCCCATAGGGAGCTCCACCGAAGGCCCCAGTGGCTGCGCCCGCATGCGGTTCCACCCCCCATTCTGGCACACCCCTCACACGTTTCGTGGCCCCATAGGGAGCTCCACCGAAGGCCCCAGTGGCTGCGCCCGCATGCGGTTCCACCCCCCATTCTGGCACACCCCTCACACTTTTCGTGGCCCCATAGGGAGCTCCACCGAAGGCCCCAGTGGCTGCGCCCGCATGCGGTTCCACACCCCATTCTGGCACACCCCTCACACGCTTCGTGGCCCCATAGGGAGCTCCACCGAAGGCCCCAGTGGCTGCGCCCGCATGCGGTTCCACCCCCCATTCTGGCACACCCCTCACACGCTTCGTGGCCCCATAGGGAACTCCACCGAAGGCCCCAGTGGCTGCGCCCGCGTGCGGTTCCACCCCCCATTCTGGCACACCCCTCACACGTTCGTGGCCCCATAGGGAGCTCCACCGAAGGCCCCAGTGGCTGCGCCCGCGTGCGGTTCCACAGTCCATTCTGGCACACCCCTCACACGGTTCGTGGCCCCATAGGGAGCTCCACCGAAGGCCCCAGTGGCTGCGCCCGCATGCGGTTCCACCCCCCATTCTGGCACACCCCTCACACGTTTCGTGGCCCCATAGGGAGCTCCACCGAAGGCCCCAGTGGCTGCGCCCGCATGCGGTTCCACCCCCATTCTTGCACACCCCTCACACGTTTCGTGGCCTCATAGGGAGCTCCACCGAAGGCCCCAGTGGCTGCGCCCGCATGCGGTTCCACCCCCCATTCTGGCACACCCCTCACACGTTTCGTGGCCCCATAGGGAGCTCCGCCGAAGGCCCCCAGTGGCTGCGCCCGCATGCGGTTCCACCCCCCATTCTGGCACACCCCTCACACGTTTCGTGGCCCCATAGGGAGCTCCACCGAAGGCCCCAGTGGCTGCGCCCGCATGCGGTTCCACCCCTCATTCTGGCATACCCCTCACACGCTTCGTGCCCCATAGGGAGCTCCACCGAAGGCCCCAAAGTGTGCGCCCGCATGCAGTTTCCACCCCCCATTCTGGCACACCCCTCACAACGTTTCGTGGCCCCATAGGGAGCTCCACCGAAGGCCCCAGTGCTTGCGCCTGCATGCGTCACCGCCCGCATGCGGTTCCACCCCCCATTCTGGCACACCCCTCACACGTTTCGTGGCCCCATAGGAAGCTCCACCGAAGGCCCCAATGGCTGCGCCCGCATGCGGTTCCACCCCCCATTCTGGCACACCCCCTCACACGTTTCGTGGCCCCATAGGGAGCTCCACCGAAGGCCCCAGTGGCTGCGCCCGCATGCGGTACCACCCCCCATTCTGGCACACCCCTCACACGTTTCGTGGCCCCATAGGGAGCTCCACCGAAGGCCCCAGTGGCTGCGCCCGCATGCGGTTCCACCCCCCATTCTGGCATACCCCTCACACGGTTCGTGGCCCCATAGGGAGCTCCACCGAAGGCCCCAGTGGCTGCGCCCGCATGCGGTTCCACCCCCCATTCTGGCACACCCATCACACGATTCGTGGCCCCATAGGGAGCTCCACCGAAGGCCCCAGTGGCTGCGCCCGCATGCGGTTCCACCCCCCATTCTGGTATACCCCTCACACGTTTCGTGGCCCCATAGGGAGCTCCACCGAAGGTCCCAGTGGCTGCGCCCGCACGCGGTTCCACCCCCCATTCTGGCACACCCCTCACACGTTTCGTGGCTCCATTGGGAGCTCCACCGAGCGCCCCAGTGGCTGCGCTCGCATGCGGTTCCACCCCCCATTCTGGCACACCCCTCACACGTTTCGTGGCACCATAGGGAGCTCAACCGAACGCCCCAGTGGCTGCGCTCGCATGCGGTTCCACCCGCCCATTTCGGCACACCCCTCACTCGTTTCGTGGCCCGGGGGCGCCACCGAGGAATATATCCACAATTGCGGTATTCACAACTACGTATGGTTGGGTCTTTCGTCAGGCTGATTTTTTGACGGCCCCGAGGCCCGGGAAGAGCCCCCAAAGGCCGAACATTGCGAAAAACCTCCCGTCGTGATTTGTTCACAGCGCGAGGAGGTCTGGGGGGACAGGAAGAGGAGGAGGGCACAGCGAAGTGAACCCAGTGGGGGGTAGGAGTAGTGTTCGCATGTGGCCCCCTAGAATGATCAGCGTCTGGTTAGCGCGCCCATCTTCGATGGGAGCGTTCCGGCCATAGGGCGCCAAGCCGCGCTCCCATCTGGATCAGCTGGCCTCGTTGGCCCATAGCGGGAGGGAGGCAGGGGGGCGGTCCAGCACGGAGCGGGGTCGAGGGGCGTGTAGATAACTGCCCTGTCCCTCGCGTGGGGCGGGTTACAGTGGAGGCCCGTCCACAAGAAACCTTCCACAAGAAACTCAACCCGGAGACTCCAGGACGTCCCTTGGTTTTTAGCGTGGAAGCGTCACGCCCTCCATCGCAAAACCATCGAAACCCGATAAACCCAGGGCACCCTGGAGGCAAGCAGGGTGTTTTTGTGGCATGGGCCCCAACTGCATCCTCGATCCTGAAATCACGACCCTCAGGAGGAGGAGGAGGAAGAGGAGGAGGAGGAGGAGGAGGAGGAGGAGGCGGAGGAGGAGGAGGAGAGAGGAGGAGCAGGATAGGAGGAGGAGAGGAGGGAGAGGAGGACGAGATGAGGAGAGGGAGGAGGGTGGAGGAGGAGGAGGAGGAGGAGGAGGAGGAGGAGGAGGAGGAGCACGCGGTCCAGCACAGAGCCTGTGCAGCCTCAGACCAGCCCCACAGGCTCAGACCTGAGATCGCCCA